CTCTCTTCTCTTCTCTTCTCTTCTACTCTTTTATTATAAAAATGTAAGATTACCCAAAAGAGATACTAAGGCTTACTCCCCTCCCACCTGAAAAAAAAGGAAAAAAAGAAAACGACCGTAAGTAAAGTGTGCTTCCTTCCCCTGTGAGATATTTTTGGTTTGTTTTTAGGGTATGAAACAATAGTAACAACAACAACAATAACAACAACAATAGTAATAGTAACACAATATCTGAGATAACTCCCGGAATCACTGGAATCAATAAATATAAACAATCTGTCAAATCAATAGAAACCACCAAGCCACCAAACCCTCTCTCCCTAACCTCTCCCCCCTTCCGCCGCGTCATCAAAAGCCCTATTCCTACTACTGCTCTTACTCCTTCCTACTCATCTCATCATCCATCAAATAGTATTGCATTCCATTCCAATTCATTCCCGCATCAAGGCAGTGTTTATGCTTAAGCCAGGACTGGAATCCTGTCACTACTCCGTACAGATTACATTTTGGTGATATATGATTGATTGGTTAGTATTAGTATACAGCCCTACACTACAGCGCTATGTGAAACATACGAATCATGTCATGTATGTGTATTTATTAGTTCGACGTATTTCCATATGGTCAAGCAAGTGAGAACTTGGAATATAAGAAAGAATGGAGACGGGGATTGTTTGTAAAGTTGTATATTATTGTTAGAACGCGTACTACTGTACCCTGTACCACGTGCCGTACCCTACCTAGCATTGTGCCCTCGCTAGTACTGACGCTAGCCTTAGCGCATACATTAGCTAGCTTATTAATATAACTGTAATATAGAGTACATACAATAATATTATACAGTTACACTTCTAACAATTATATTGTAGTTATGTAGAGTAGGTAAAAGCTAAAATGCTATAATTAGTTGTTTCTAGATGTTAGTTAAGCTGTTCTAGCTCAGCAAGATATACATTAGTATAATAGCAATGGTAGCAAACTCCTCAAATATCCATCTCCACCATATCATCTCACAATCTAGCATTCGTATTTGACTTTTCTTCGTACTCTTCGCACACGATCCTTTTCGTCCATCTGATCTCTTCCCAATCTGTCACTCTTATGTTAATGATATGCAACAACCAAGCTTCATTTTTGACGTCTCTTTTCACTCTTCCCAAACATCTTGCCATTAACGTTTCGCTTGATTCGATAAAAACTTTACTTTCACTTTCTGCTAGACCAGTGGTCTTAAAGTTTGCCAGAATACCCTTGGCAAATGGCGGACGGTCGTGGAACAAATCTGCGAATTGGAAATGCTGCTTCGTGGTGCCAGGTTCTCGAGATGAGAAATTGATACGTGCAAATAGCTCAACAATTGCATCTTGACCTAGCGCATTGCATCGACCTCCCTCTTTGAGCATCTCACCGATGCGAAAACAAACACGAAGGAAAGTTTGGGCTGATAATCCATTGACCGGGCACCGATCTTGAACAAGAGGGGAAAATCTCGGTCTAGCGAATGGTGAGAGAGGCAAGTATTCATGACTGTCATCAAGCCAAATCTTGGTTGAATTAGTTTCACTTGACACAACAGGTGGTGGAGGATCCTTGGATTGTTTATCTTCCGATAGCGAGGCAAGAACTTCCAGAGGTTCAATAGCTGGAGCTCTGACTGGATCCATGGCCGTCGATGTTATGTATCTGAAAGTTTGATTAGACAGATCATACTCTATAATTTACATGGGCCATATAACTTACCCCCAATCTGCGTCTTCATTTGTTGCAGGTGGCTTTGAAGGACTAGATATATCAGTAGGATAAATCCTGCTTATGCCACCAGGATCAGAACCTCGAGAAGTGGGCGATGAGAATTGAAGAGTATTATCGTATAATTCCCTATCAGTATCATGACCATCGAACGGAAGCTTTAAACTTGGTGGTGGCTCAAATGATTCTACAACACCTCGAACTTGACTTGTTTCTGCTAGTCTAAACATTTCTTCCTCCAAATCTGCATCCATAGGGAAATCGTCATCTTCATCCATTACGATGGATGAAGACGTAGCCCGTGTGACTTTTTGTGGGACGGCGGTAAGATGAGGCGACGGCAACGTCCTGGTACCTGCAAGATCAAGCTTATATTGCACGGAAGATGGAGATGACAATATCGCAGTGCCTTGCACCGTTTGACTTTTCATAGGAGTTTCGGGAATAACAGGATCTGCAACCAATGCTAGCAAATCCTCATCACCAATACCATGGTCAAAGTCATCGCTGTCAAAGTCATCTCGAAATGGATTCTTGGGAGCTGGCTCGCCAACTTCAATGTATGAGCGCTCAAGTTGATTATCGGTATGATGTCTTCCAGGCCTCGCCATTGGCATAAGCAATGTCGAGTCATTAGAAAGATTTGCCTGATCTTGCTCGGGGCCGGGGGACTGAATATAAACTCGTTGAATATCTATGCTGTGGTCTGGCAACTCAAAATCTATATCACCGAGCTGGGTAGCTGCATTATTATCAACTGATAGAGGCCCTTGGCTAAGATCTTGCATTTCGATGACTTTGACAGCAATGCCATCCGGAACGTTTTCTAACACCCTAACTTCACTAGATGTTGGAGCGTACTCGGACTGCTTTGGTGAATACTCGAGATAGTCTGATATATGCTGCGAGTTCATCGGATTCCTGGAAAAAGAATGGATTTCGGATAGGTTGGGACAGGTAATCTCAGGTTCATTACTATCAGCAAATTGTTTCGGAATCCACAAAGCTTCTTCAAAATATGAATCACTCGATATGGGACCATAGTCGGATGCAGGTTGTTTTGCTTCTTCGAGGACCTGACCATCGAGATACTGATCCAAGGCTCCTTGAGTATTCGCTATTTTGCTTGCAACTAATGGCTGAATCGCCGACGGATTGTCATTGCGGGGTACATATCTGAAGCTTGCCAATTTCTGTAAAGTTGTATTTGCTATCCCATTTGAATTGAGCTTCAACTGTTCCTCGGTTGTTGTGAAACCTTGTAATCGGTTGATAGATTGCATTTCATCTCTTGGAGATTTCGAGGCAAAGTAAGACAATGATGGCTTGGTGATGGTTGAGCTCTGAAATAATTCTGAAGATTTCTTCCGCTTGCTAACCATGGCAGAAGACACTCTCTTCTTCGGCCTTTTATGGGTATCGGGTGGTGTGTTTAGTTGAGAAGCCGATGATCCATCATCCAGGCTAAGTCCTTTGCTGCTAACATTTGTCTGTACTTTAGAGGGAATTTTAAATGCGGGCTGTGCTCCTTTCACAGGAATTTTTCTTCTCTTTGGCGAGGACACCTCGAATTGGCCCGAGTCACTATCCTCCAATCCAAAGTTGTTATGTGACTCGAGGCCAGACAATGTTTTTGCACGGCTATTCTTCGAGCGTGGCTTTGGTCCACTGGAAGTGGGAAGGATAGGGATGTCATCTGGAAGATCGTAGATATCGGTATTGCGCAAGGTTCTCAATGGGTCGACTGTTCGAGTGAGAGGTGACTTTTGGTCGAAATTGTTTGTAAAACCTTGATTGATTGGAGTGAAAGATGAAATTGGGCGCATTGGTGTTTCTGGCGCACTGTTTCAATATGCGGTATTAGTATCAAATAATTGAATGGTTGCAAAGCTCAAACAAACATGTATGTCCTGTCTTCTTGACCCTTCCTTGCTTTTGATAGTTCCTTCTGATTCCAGCCTTGATAATGCGCCATCTTGATCGCACTTCAGTTCATCGCTTTACCTCTCTCGGCCCCATCACCTCTTTCGCACCACTCCTCCTTCATGCCCCTCCTTTAAGAACTCTTCCTCCTCCCATTCACGTCATCGATCGCCAGTCGCCGGACAAGTATCAATACGAGGAGTTCATACGTGGAGTTCAGAGAGTAAAGTAAAGATTATCGAATGCTAGTAAAGGTGAAACTGAAGGTGAGGTTGAAGGTGAGGTTGAAGATTGAAGAAGAAGCTCCAAACCGAGTGTTATGGATGGAGCCTAAGGCTACAACCGTTTAAAGTGCGAGGAAGACCTCGGGATCAACTATCCGTCCCGCCCCGCTACACTAACCCCATTAAGTACTTAGTAGGCCCAAGCTCCCTTCAACTCTGTAACAACCCATGAATCACAGGAGAGATACTCGAATAGATATAATTGCGACCCTACCGACCGACCCTTCACTCAAAACAAGAACAATAAATTGATTTGCACTCGTCTCAGCACTCTCAAACAACATCACTCTATATAATACATTCATGCTCATCGTCGAGTTCATTCTTTATGATATGTGTTAATCTTATTACAATAACCTTACAAGTATAGAGTTCCCTCCAAACAACCCCACCTTCCACTTTAAGACGTGGCAGGAGAGCAGCAGTTAAACAAAACAATCTGATAACAACGTTAACCTTCCTGGACAACTCATACTACATTTGGATCTGTCAAATCAGCATTAACCACATCCACTTATTGTTTGCTGTTCCCTAGTTATATTTGATCAAGTGTACTGCACTCTACTATTGGTCTCTTGTTAAGCAGCATCATTGTGGAAGAGCTTGTACTCGTAACTAAGCCAACCCTTTCATATTCAACGGTCAAGGGTTCCGAAATAGATTGGTGGGCAAAATGTTTTCTTCGGTCAGTAATCCATAGAGCAATCTTCAACTCTCGATTTTCTCCATCCTTTACCTTCATTTCCGGACTTTCCCCATTCTTGTTGTCTACTCACATCACGAGATTATGGAGACATATTTGTGATTCGTGAGTATTATACGACTGATGTCCTCCTATCGTGACGAGCATGGTGGTAGGTCTACCAAGAGGAAACTTCAACGTCACCATGCTAGATCTTACACTGCATCTTACATCTCTTCTGAACCCCAGTCCGATTCTTTTCACAGAGGCCATGTTGGGAACCTTCTTTTTGGCAGACAAAAGACGACAAAGACCGAAGAACTAATCCGTGTTCGACGTAAACAGAAGAAACCATATTCAGCAGTTACTGTCGCCATCGAACGTCTCACGAGCGAACAGTATGAAGATGATGATTTTGGTGGTATTCCAGAGTTGGTGGAGGTGATCAAAATTCAATCTACCGGTCCTACAGAAGCATCTAGAGCTATCCGAAAGAAGCTCAAGTATGGCAATGTACATCGTCAAATACGGGCTTTAGAGATCCTGGATGGCCTAATTCAAAATGCCGGTGGAAGATTCCAACGTACTTTTGCCGATGAAGCCTTACTCGAGCGTCTACGTATCTGCGGTACCTCGGATCTCTCAGATCCTGCAGTAAAGGCTAAATGCAAAGAATTGTTCAAAAACTGGTCTGCTGAATACGCAGAGGTTAGTGGAATGGAAGAGGTTCGCGCTCTCTACAAGGTATGTATCATATAAGAGCTTATATATTCCTTACTAATAAGAATTTAAAGCAATTACCTCGTACTAAGAAGGTTGTCACCCAAGACAGATCGAAAGTTCTCCGCGAAACCGAGGAAAATCCCTTCCATGATGATGAGCTTGAAGAGTCCCCTTCTTCACCGGGTCCATCTACACCTGGTCCTTCTCAAGCTGGATCTTCGCACTCGAGACAGAGTTCTTTAACAACATCCACCAGAGACCGAGCATCCTCGATATTATCTTCGTCCACTAGAAAGTCTAAGAAGGATAAAGAAAAGGACAAGAAGAAGAAGAAGCACAAGCCGTTCAACCTGGAAGCCGAGAAAGAGACAATGAAGGCTGCCATCGCAGAGTCAGCCGTTGCCTCCACAAACCTTTTGAACGCATTGAGACATATCAATCGTGAGAAAGAACGAATTTCCGAAAACAAAACAGCTCTGCAGCATTTTGATAGCTGTAAACTTCTCCGAAGAAAGATTCTCCGATATGTAAGTCTTGTGATAATTATCTTTTTGTACCTCGCTAACCCTATCAACAGATCCAACATGTTGAAGCCGAAGAATGGCTTGGAGGACTTCTTCACGCAAACGATGAATTGGTCAATGCATTGATGACATTTGAACAGCTTGATAGATCAATCGATGCTGATAGTGATTCTGATGATGACATGGCTGAGCAAGCTCATCTTTACAAAAGTATGACTCTCATCTCGCAAGATACGAGCATCAGCTAATATCATATAGTGGCGGAGCGAAGTAATGCCGACCGCAGAAATAGTGATGCAACGACACAGCAACTCGCCGGTCTTTCCATTGGTACTAAGAGCCCACTCAGCCCAACCAGAACCTCCCATCGCCCTGCACCACCTACTCCCCAGAGATCAGCTCGTCCTCCAGCACCTGAATCAGAGGACGAGGAAGAGGATGAGGATGATCCCTTCGCTGATCGTAATGCTCTTGACTGAGCATAATGGGTCTGGCACTCTTACAGTTTGGATTAATCCCACCAGGCGTGATAGATTATGATATTTTGGTACAATGGATCAACGATTTTGTTAGGCGGCACGATGTTGCATTTTAGCATAGCAGATGTGGAGAGATATATCTTTTGGTGTGATACGATACGTTTTGGAATTGAAACGACGTTATGAGGATGAAGGAACATTAATGAAATGATGGGAGCCAGTGATGGGAGAATATTTGGATATGAAATGTAGCTCAGCCTAATATTACTTTATTGCGCGGAGTGTCAATCTTGATATTGGGAATGTTATAATTAGTAGTAGTAGTAGTTGTAGGACGGCTACTTTTTGATAACTTGGATCGGGAGGTATATGGTAGTCCAGAGTGAAGTTTAGAGACTACTAGGTAGCTGGGAAAGTCACTCATACTTGGGATGGGATGGTGAGATTAGCTGTAAAATCGCCTGTCTTTCACCGGAGAGAAATGTGTGGTAGACCGGCGTGTTATACGAGGCAGCTCTTCAGCTCTCCTGCTTAATTGATCAACGATGGGCCGATGCCCTACGGGCACCTCAGGAGAGTAAATCGGCCATTTTTTGCAAACGTCCTCTTTAGTGTATATATTGAGATTCAAACCATATATTGAAATTCAATACAAATATTGATATTTGAAACTAAAAAGGCCTCCAATATCGATGGCTACCCTCTCCCAGGCCTTTCAATTGCCACCCTCTCATTTCCTGGCCTTCCTGGCTTCCCTGGCCCTCTCCTCCCTCGTCGTCGCTAGATCTTTATATATATAAACAATTGAAAGCATTCAAATTTACTGAATATTGAAGTATTGAAACCATTCTGACTTATTGAAAAATTATAAGAAATATGATTGAAAGATTTCGGTAGATATAAATGAATTTGAAATCGTCGATTTAGGGTAAAAGAAATGAAGCTATATCGAACTAAAAATCAATTAATTCATATTAAA